TTACGCAAGGAGCTACTGTCAATGTTAGGCGGTCAACGGCACCTGAAGACCTAACTGGACGCTCACTGCTGGAGCTTTTCCCGCCTGAGGAAGAGAGTGATTTAGCACGACCGAGAAGCGGTTCATTCCCGGAAGTCTTTGCTGGTCATCAGGACTATCAGCGTTTAGGATCATCATCGGGCCTATCACTGAACAGCATCCTTCAGGCGTCTCGTGAGCAACTGATTCGAACGTTGCAGAATCAAAAGCAGCAGCTAATAAAGCGATGGAATGAGATGTTGGACAAGCTGAAAGCGGTGATCATCGCAAAGATTCAGTCATTTTTGAACTTTAATGATAATTTTGCTGCGTACGTGACACAGCTGCTGCAGCAGATTTCTAACGGCTCAACTACAGTCATTCACCACATTCAAGAGGCGATCAGAAAATATCTTCAAACTTTGGTGCAAAACTTTGGTTTGAATACGACTAGCTTTGATGATTAATGACGGCAAGCTGTTTGTTTTCTCTGTTTGTTACTAAAAAGATGCAGTTTCCAGTGGTGAAGGCACCGTGCTGTGTTTGCTGTTGTTGGTGCTAACATTTTTTGTTAATCACCACTTCTGTACTCGTTGAGAGACTTGAGATAATTGGTGAGGATACAAAAGAGCAAGCAACGTAAGCAGTCTTGTTATATTTCCTGGCCACCAGTGGTAATGAAGACACAGCAAACAGAAATTCGGCAATTAGAAATGATGCAAGCAGCAGCAGTCAGCAGAAAGTGGTAATGAACACGTGTTTCAGCGGTAATTGCTTGGCCACGGGAGAGGAACGTGGGGGAGGAGATGGACGATGATGGCGATAATGAGGATGATGGGGAATGAGAGATGGGAAAGATAAGATTGCCATTGAGAGGCAAACAAGCAAATGTCGACAATTAGTGAAAGCAAAGCGGCGGGAGATTTCAGCAGTCAACAGACAACAGCCGTGCTCTGACTAATTGGGACAAGATCTTGGACAAATGACAGCTAAGATAGAGCGCAAATGACACATGTTCATACCGAGCATAGTGTGATGAGCATTATAAAATTGTTTTTTAGCTCAAAGCCATTTTTCTTTATTTATTCAAAGACGGTTTTAAAAACTTTTCTTTTGAGGATGACCCTTAAGGAAGTAGTTGTGTCTGTGGCTAACCCGTTTGTGTGCACATAACAATATGCGGCAGTATCAACTTTCTACTGAAAACAAGACAAGAAGTGTTTAAAATGATGTATTTTTTGTAATGAAAAGAAATATTGAAAATGAACAACACTGCCGTCATGTGATGTTCTCGGAGAGTGATCATCTAACCAGCAGCGTGTGCTCTTTGTCGGTTATCATTTGCATTTGTTGTTCGACAGATCAAATCATCTGAGCAAACAAAGCGCCTTCTCACTCGCTCATTAGCAAGCAGTATGAAAAGAAGAAGAAAACAGCATCACCGCAAGATGAAATCAATTGAAAGAAAGAAAGTCCACTTCAAAGTTCTTTTTTTCAGGTGCTGTGCACAGTGCAAAAGGGGGGAGAGCATCAAGAAGTCAGCGGCTAAGGCGATTAGCATCAGTCGGATTGCCTGCTTGTACGTGTTGCATAATGGACAGAGAGATGTGATAGCCAGTAGATGCGGCAATTTGTGCAGCGGAAAGTTCAGCACCGCAGAGACGTCCAGTAGACTAATGAGACGAAGATGTAGAAGGGAGAGGAAGAGAAANTGAAAGAAAGAAAGTCCACTTCAAAGTTCTTTTTTTTCAGGTGCTGTGCACAGTGCAAAAGGGGGGAGAGCATCAAGAAGGCAGCGGCTAAGGCGATTAGCATCAGTCGGATTGCCTGCTTGTACGTGTTGCATAATGGACAGAGAGATGTGATAGCCAGTAGATGCGGCAATTTGTGCAGCGGAAAGTTCAGCACCGCAGAGACGTCCAGTAGACTAATGAGACGAAGATGTAGAAGGGAGAGGAAGAGAAAGGGAGAGCATTTCACATCAGTGCCACCAGCAGTGGCGGTGAAAGTGAGACAACGGTGAGGACGATAATTGATGAGCTCATCTGCAGGTCAGTTGGTGGTGAAGGAGGAGAGATTGACAATTGCCATTTCTCTCGTATGCTCCGGTGTCCGACTGTCTCTCTCTCTCTCTCTCTCTCTNCTCTCTCTCTCTCTCTCTCTCTCTCTCTCTCTCTCTCTCTCTCCGGCTCACCACAAAGGCCATTGCCATTGGGATTCTCTACTGCTCCGTTGACCAGCAGTATATAAGTCCAGATGATCCATCCATCAGTATCCACTTTACGTTTTTTGTGATCCTCCTTTTGATTCAGTGCATTTTCTCAGTATCAGTAGACCTCATCCTAAGAAGACAATGGTTCTCAAAGTAAGTGATTAGTGTTTTGGAGGCAGAGTTCAGGTTGTACTCAAGTTGCCTCTGCACAGTTTGTCGTTCTCTCAACTCTGGTGGCGGTGGTTGTGGCCGCTGGTGGTGGCTATGGAAGCTCCTCTGGTGGAGGATCTTCTTCATACGGTGGTGGGGCGACCAAGAGCTCAGGAGGTGGAAGAAGCGGTGGCTCATCATATGGTGGGGGTCGCTCATCAGGAGGAGGAGGATCATACGGTGGCAGCGGAATGTCGGGTGGATTCGGCGGTCTCGGTGGTAGAGGAGGTGGTGGTCGATCTTCAGGCGGCGGTGAAGGACAGGTCGTTCAAGGTAAAACATTCATTGGTTGCCGCTCAACTTGTACTTACCTTAGCATCTTCCAGCGGCCATTCAATCGAAGCATGAAATTCAATTTCGCGATGTTCCCTCAAGCGGGGAAACAGTTCCAACCACGATTGAAGTTGGGGCCTCGCCAATCCCACTTACGATCCTCTTCAGAAGGTAATAATTTGTGTTTAATTTTTGTTTGTAAAACTAATGATTTTATGTATTTTAGTGCCTCATCCAACCTGAACATTCAGCAAGTGCACGAGGGTGCCGGTGGCAGCAACCAAGAGACGCAGTCTGAGGATGAGCCCCATGTTCTGAAGCACTCAGTGACCAAGCCAAGTAAGATTGTGCTGTTCATTGAGTCATTATTTATTCTAACTTTCTTTTTCTTTTTCCACAAAACAGTCATCCAGGAGGTAATTATTTAGAGAAGTGCAGCTGAGATCATAACAGGTAAACTAATTAATTTTTTCCTGTTTAGGTTCGTGAGATCATCACTCCCTCGAGAAAGATCGTTCAGGTAAGTGATTTTGATCGGATGATTAATCTTAATTGGTTTACTAATTAAATCCTTATCATTCGATAAACAGGAGATCCAGCCAGTGCAAGAGGAGATCCTCACCATCGTCGCCAAGGGCGAACAGCGTCAGTCTTCAGCAGGTGGTGCAGGCGCTTCCTTCTCCGGTGGGTCTTCGAGCTTTGGCGGTGGTGCTTCTGGTGGAAAGAGCTCTGGTGGCTATGGCGGTGGAAGTTCTGGCTCATTTGGTTCCAAGTCTGGCTCGAAAGGCGGTTACTAAGCAGCCTAGAGCGTATTGACTCTAAACTCATCTAAATGCATTTTGTATTTATCCACCAATTCTCATTTTTCCTTACTTTTCTTGTACACTTTTGACAAGTTTATGACTTGTTTAGTTAAAAATATTATTAAAAAGACTTGATACTATCTTTAGAGTTTAATAACGTGGGCGCCATCAGCAGAAACCATTAAAATTGAAACAGCAAAGTTCGTCTCGAGATGCCCAGCCATGTGGTTGTATAACCGAAGTGGAGGTGCTTTCAGCCAGTGTGGCCACCGACAGCATGAGCACTTTCTCTCGGGCACACTCAAGTACCTGTACCTGGTTTATGCTGGACATGAGAACTTACTGCCTCAGGATTCGTGGGTCTTTTGCTCTACTGGGCACCCCTTGCCTATCTGTGGAGAGCATCCACAGTACTCACTGGAGGCCTGCAGGTAGTCAGAAGGAGAAGGGAAAAAGAAGAGGCCATTTGCATAACATGAAAATAACTTTTTAAATTTTAAATAGAAATTTAATTACTATGGAACTGACTATGTCAATGTTCAACTAACTTTTTATTGGGCATTGAGTGCTATAAAAACGCAATTCCCCTACCATTGAAGTTAAAAAAATTAGCCAAGTCAGTCTCGAGATGCATCATCTTTAACAGCTCATATCTCAAAAATTATGAAAGCAATCGATGTCGGGCTTTTGCCCAGGTGCTTGGGAGGGCGCCAGGGCGTCAAATTTAATCAAAAAGTATCATTAAACCAGGCAACGCCGAGACTCGAACTCGGGCATCTGGATTCAGAGTCCAGCGTACTGACCACTATACTACGTCGCCTTTCAACTGAAGGGATGGCGCCTGAGAAGATCCTTAACCTTTGCAGGAAAGCATCCCAAAATGCTTGCATGCAGTTATGTTTTAAATAAGAAACACCGAATATAACTTTTGGTTTATTAATTTAAATCTAGTCTATAAAGATAATTATGTTCTTTGTAATTTAAACTTCCAAAGAAACTGTTTGAGTAGATGAAAAACATAAAAACACAATGAGTTGCTCACTCTATTGTCATTTTGTGAAAATCAGCTCACTGGGGCTCGATCTGGTGAGGCTGCTGATAACTAGAACTGCTCAATTTGTTGTTTTTAACTTTTTGGTTCTCTGATGTCAACATTTTAAGCAAAAAAACAAAAAATCAAATTGCCAAAAAAAATTAGAACTAAAACTTCAACTTTCATTTTTGTTACAATCGTGCGTATCTACAAAACTTTTTTAATTAGTCACAAATTAATCTTTACTATTTTTTAGATAACTTGTATCAAAAACACCTGTTTTGAATTTAATGAATCATTTTCAGCACATGGATACAATCAACCAGTGCCAGCACAGCAACTGATCAGATCATTTTGTATTTACGACTCAAAATAACAACTGAAAAAAGTGTCATTTAGTGATCAAGTGCTAGTGCAAAAAAATGCCAGTGATTAATTTGTGACGGCATTACTTTCAATTGGGAGTTCAAGAAAAAAACTTACAAGGAAAAAACTCAAAGTCAGTTTAACTTTAAAGTGCTTTTTGTTTTTGTAATACACAGTGCAATACTAAAATGAAAAGACTGTCTGATCACCTAGCATCTAGTTACTGCCAAAGTCGCTGTTTGTCGACAGGTCACCACAGTGTGACTAGAGCTTCTAAGACAAATCATCAGTCATTAGTCATCGATTGCCTTTATCACTTTGACATCATTTTTATTTGTTTTACTTTTTCTCAATTAAAACAGAAACACTGGTGAAAATTATGGTGCCTGAACAATACTGCCGTCAAAGTGTGAAGAAAAAGCATTTTAAACTGCAAAATGGCTTTAGATAAAGCCGGACGGCGACAATCAGTCTGTCCGCTCATAATTGCACAGACACTGCAATTGACCATGTCATCCTCGTCAATTAAACGCAGTCTGTCTGAACACCCGGTTATTAGAATTTCATCTGACTACCCGTGACTGGCGGCAACAATAGCCAAACAAAAACCACTTCCAGCCATCCTCATCTTTCTCTGCAGCTGACGACATGATTGCCGCCCGACAAAAAAGTGATGGACTTGCAAGGCGTGAGTGCTTGAACTGATTCACCACAGCTACAGTCGAGAGAAAGAGAAGTGAAATCAGTTTGGCTACCAGGTAGCGGCTACCAAGATGGCAAATAATGCGAAAGAGCACAGCAGAAAATGTATCGCTTTTTTGTTCTAAAACGACGGCAATTTGTCCAGTTTCACTTTTAGAGGACGCACGCACTCTGTGGCAACGGTTGTCAGTC